TCCAAACCAACTTTGTCTTAGAGAGGAAATGGCACGAAAATTACATCATTGTCCAAGAAATGATCCACTCATTTAAGAAATGCAAAGCTAAAAAGAGGCAAATGGCGGTTAAACTTGATCTGAAAAAAGCTTATGATAGACTTGAGTGAAGCTTTATTAAATAGGTCCTGTGCTTCTTCAACGTGCCTACCTCCTTAATCAACTTATTATGAGCTGCATTTCATCCGCATCCATCTCGATTTTGTTGAATGAAATGATGCTCAAAAGTTTCAGACCTTCAAGGGGCATATGGTAAAGGGACCCTTTGTTTCCTTACTTATTCATCATGTGCATTGAATTTCTTAGTCCGAGGATTTTGGACGCATGCAAAAACAAGAGGTGGTTACCCTGCAAACCATCCAGAAATGGTCTATCTTTCTTCCATGTTATTTTGGAGGATGATATAATACTCTTCGAAAAGGCTGATAAAGAAACCGCTGAATCATTGAGGGAATGCTAAAAGTCCTTTTCTGTCAAATGCAGCCAAAAAGTTAATCTGGATAAGTCGTATATTTTCTTCTTGGCCAATACCCATATTCACAGGGAGTGTTGTTAATATTTTAAAAATTCATGAAACTGAAGACCTGGGTAGATAATTGTGGTTTCCCTTTCATAAGGGACAGGTTAGTAAACTTAAGTATACATTTATCATTGACAAAGTCAGGGCTAAATTGACCGGTTGGAAGGCAGGCCTATTATCACCTGCAAGGAGACTTCTGTTCATTAAATCAGGTATGGATATGATCCCTTCCTATTATATGTAATGCCGTGCTTTTCCTTCTAGTGTTTGTAATGAACTTGATAAGATTAATAGGAATTTTCTATGGGGAGACACGGAACAGAAGAAGAAAATGCACCTTCTAAATTGGAATGAAATAACTAAGAATAAAGAGGAGGGAGGTCTGGGACTAAGGGATGCCAATATATAGAACCAAGTCCAACTAACTAAGTTGGTGTAGAGGTTTATGCAAACAAGGATGAAACCTGGGCCCAAACTATTCAAGCCGAATACCTAACCGATGGTGGTAGTCCAAAACCAAAATAGAAACCCTCTGTCACATGGAAAGATAGAAATGGACTGGATCTATCCTCGATAGGTTTTGGTTGGGTGAGTCGGAATGGTGTAAACACCAACTTCTGGTATGACAAATGGATGGGTGGTGAAACAATAAGATCTTTGATCTGGGGGCCTCTTAATAGAAATGAAGAAGGAATCAAGGTCAAAGAAATCCATCACGTCCTTTATCTTCAGAGGGACTGTCCCATTTCCTTTCAGCTTCTGTTGTCAGTGATCGAGGCTATGAGAGCTATCCCTTCTCAATTATGTGGGCAAGGAGAGGACACCTCTTATTGGATAGCTTCAGCAAGAGGAAAATTTACAACCAACTTAGCATATGTTCTTATAAAAGGAAAAAGTGGCAGCATTGGGAAAACAAATTGGAACTGGATTTGGAAGCTGAAAATGTTACCCAAGCTCTAATTCTTTGCCCGGCAGTGTACGCATGAGATCCTACCAACGAAAGCCCTCCTCATGCAACGTCGAATGAACGTTCAAAACCGATGTATTTTCTATGGCCAAGAGCATGAAGATATCTAGCATATTTTACGAGTGCCAGTGGACCAAGCATGTGTGGAGGGACCAAGAGGACATTATTGACCTATCATCTGGTGGGGAATTTAGGGACTGAATTCGTAAAAATGCAACCGACAATAAAAGATCGAAAAACCATGATATTCCCTGGGGTTTGTTGTTAGTTCACATCACGTGGGAAGTTTGGCTAGAGAGAAACCATAGGATCTTCTATATGCGAATAGCAGAAGGGTGGAAATTGTCAAGCGTGCTATTGAGAAAGTAGGGGAATTTTTTGCAACAAACCAACAACATGAGAGAAACGTCTAATTCTCTTCGTCCCTATTAAATGGAAACCACCTGAGTTCGGACGGTTTGAACTCAACACCTATGGGCAATCTATAGGAAACCCGGGGAGAGCAAGGGTTGGAGCCATCATTAGGGACCATGAAGAGAGATGAGTGTCTGCCATTGCTAGATTTATAGGGCATGGAACGAACACTCTGGCTGAATTATGGGCTTTTAGGGATGGGTCAATGTTGGCTAAACAGCTCAATATCTCTGGCCTTGATGTGGAACTTGATGCTTTTACCGTTATTTCCTTGATTAAAAAAACAAATCCACTTCTAATCTGTGTTTGTAACCTCTAATTTATGATTACAGAAAGCAGTTGTCAGAAATTAGCTGCTGTCAAGTCATGCACACCTTCGGGGAGGGAAATACATGGTGCTGATGCTTTGGCGCTTTGGCTCGTTTCGGTAGTAACCATCTTGCTAAAAGTAAATGTAATGAGAACCCTTTTGTATTATTTTTAAACCCTTCTAGCTTTATTTTGAATTTGCTTGTTGATGACATGATTGTTGGGGAACACCACAGCTCTGATACCATTTGTTTGGCTAAAAGCCTCCAATCCAATCACACCAGCGAAAGCAAAATCAAACAATAAATCAAACACACAAGAGACAACAATTTAACGTGGTTCGGTCCAACTGACCTACATCCACGGATGAGAAAAAAGATCCACTAATTGTAGAGAATTACAAACATACATCAAATCATCAATCTCACTCAACAATCAATACTCATAAGACATTCTCAATCTCTTATAGTCTTATGGAGTATTCTCAACCCAAATAAACACAAACCCAAACCCTTGTGCACTCTTTCAACATATCCAAAACACATACCCATATACTCTCATATATCATACCTATGTGGACCCTCTCAGTCTCCTCTAGTCCACTCACAAACAAACATACACACCCATAAGACGTAGAACCCCAATACTCTTATGATGTGTCTATCCCACAAAACCCTACAACTCTCTTACATCTTTTTCTTATACTTAACCTTGTAGAGACTTCACATATTTATAACCATACAAACTTGCCCATTAAGAATCCCTCTCCTCTTAGAATTTTCTCATATAAGTCAAACTTGCCTATTAAGAATCCCTTTTCTTTTAGAATTCTTCTCTTGCAAGTCAAACTTACCTATTAAGAATCCTCTTTCTCTTGGAATTCTTTTTTTTCAAGTCTTCTTGTCCATCAAGCAATATCTAACAAATCCCAAACAAATCTCAAACAAATCTCTTATGGGATTTGAGTTAATATTCCCAACAATCTCCACCTTGACTCAAATTTCATCAATCATCTGTCTTCATGCTAGACATGCTTGGCTCCACCTGCAATGAAAGTCTCACAATCATCTTCTCTTTTCTTGTGTCTTCACGCTTCATACAAACTAATCATCAATCTTTAAAACTTAAACTCGAACTCTTCTCTTGAATCGAGCTCTTTTGGACTTACTTCTTCCCATATCTCAAACCAAGCTCTTCCCATATCTCGAACTGTCAACTCTTCCCATGTCTCAAACCATTGGCTCTTCCTACATCTTGAATCTTTAACTCTTCTCACCTTTCGAACCTTCGGCTCTTTCCACATCTTGAATCTTCAACTCTTCTTACGTTTTGAACTTTCAGCTCTGATACCACTTGTTGGGGAACACCACAGCTCTGATACCATTTGTTGGGCTAAAAGCCTCCAATCCAATCACACCAGCGAAAGCAAAATCAAACAATAAATCAAACACACAAGAGACAACAATTTAACGTGGTTCGGTCCAACTGACCTACATCCACGGATGAGAAAAAAGATCCACTAATTGTAGAGAATTACAAACATACATCAAATCATCAATCTCACTCAACAATCAATACTCATAAGACATTCTCAATCTCTTATAGTCTTATGGAGTATTCTCAACCCAAATAAACACAAACCCAAACCCTTGTGCATTCTTTCAACATATCCAAACACATACCCATATACTCTCATACATCATACCTATGTGAACCCTCTCAGTCTCCTCTAGTCCACTCACAAACAAACATACACACCCATAAGACGTAGAACCCCAATACTCTTATGAGGTGTCTATCCCACAAAACCCTACAACTCTCTTACATCTTTTTCTTATACTTAACCTTGTAGAGACTTCACATATTTATAACCATACAAACTTGCCCATTAAGAATCCCTCTCCTCTTAGAATTTTTCTCATATAAGTCAAACTTGCTTATTAAGAATCCCTTTTCTTTTAGATTTCTTATCTTGCAAGTCAAACTTACCTATTAAGAATCCTTTTTTTTTGGAATTCTTTTTTTTCAAGTCTTCTTATCCATCAAGCAATATCTGACAAATCCCAAATAAATCTCTAACAAATCTCAAACAAATCTCTTATGCGATTTGAGTTAATATTCCCAATAATGATAGTGACACCTTTGTGTCTTTCTATTTTCTACAAAAAATAAAAACTCCAAAGATAACAGAGAATGAAAATTTTTAATTTCATTAATTAATCAGAAGAAAAAAGAAAAAAAAAGATTGAAGTCTTTCAGTCCAATTTATTTGTATATTGGGTAGCCGATTTTGGTTTTTAAAATAAACATCATGCGGCGTTTTACAAAGACGAATGCTTCATTGCATCTGTTAAAACGACTGCCCTCACCAATGCTCTTTTATCATTAATAATTCAAAAAGAATAATTATAGTCTTTGGAATAGCATATTCCTAAAGTCAGTTGCCATTGGTCCACTTTTTTTTTTTTATGGAATATGTCCACTTAAAATAAAAAAGGCACCATCATAAAAAACAATAATCATTACAAAAAATAATCTATACGTTCAGATTTATTACTTTTTATTGGTGACTGCCATTAACTGCCGGTGTAACAAAAAATATCTAAAATTTGCAATCATCAAAAAGCTAAAAAAATCTTAAATTTGATATTTGCAAGTCCCAATTTTAAACCGACATCGTTTAGGGAGGTCCCACTGCAGGCTTTAAAAGCCGACCAGCGTTTCAGCTGAAAAAATAACGCGTGCTCCTGCCCCTCGTGACAACATCTCTCTTTCCTTTTTTTTGTGCGCACACGAAAATGTAGATAGCAGATCGTAGATCACAGTGAAAATCGCTATAATTTCGTGTTGTTTTTTTCCTTTATTAATCTCTAAAAGCCTAATTTCCTTTTTGGCCCCTTTTGTAAACCCTAATCTTGAATACCCTAAATCTTTACAAAATCGGTTATTATTTTAATATTTAAGTTTTGTCTAATTGGAGGCGAATTAAAAACTCATTGATGGGATTTACTTAGTTGTTGTTGTTACTGCGTTTGCTAGTTTGTTTTAAGACTTTTGAGCTGAGTTGACTAGCGCGTTGACTCAATAAAGAATAAATTTTAAAATTTTCATTGGAGTTATTTGGGGTTGAATTTGGAGAATGCGATGATGGAGGGGAATGACGGAATTGGTTGTTTAGAAAATTCGAGTACCAGCGAGGGAAAGCCACCGAATCCTCGCACGTCGTCGTATAGGCAGCAGTGTCCGACCAATGATGGTGGTTTGAAGCCTTGTAAGAAGTCCCTCGTTCGACACCCGTCTCTTGTGAGTTCCCTTTTCATGATTCTTTCTTTTTTTTTTTTTTCTTTTTTCCTAAAGTGAGTCGGTGGCATTTTAATTGTCGGTGATTTTTTTTTCTTTTTACCGTTTTGAGGTGGAATGTTGATTTTGAAGTGTATTAATTGATGGAAATTATGGATTTTAAATATGGGTTATTTAGTATGGGAAATGGTGGGCAAGGAGAATAAAATTGTTAATAAAAAAAAGTGCAATTAAGAGGGTTCTCTTGTTAAGGTTAATCTAGATTTAAAAAAACGGCTATGTAATTTGCAATGTGCAAAGGGGTTAAGTCTATTGGTCGCTAATGAATCTGATTAGCAATTGGTTTATGTTGTGGGTATTTTGAAATGGAATTTAAAGAAACCAGCTAAGTATTATTTTTGGTAGATAGGTTCTTGTGGTATTGAACAATGTGATTACCCAGAGTGAAAGCTAATGAAAAGAAACTGAAAGTAAAATTACAGGGATTTAGTTGAGGGGGTAAAGATTTCTGACAGGTTTAGATGGTTCTTTTGTTTGCGATATACGAGTTAAGGATCTGTTATCTGTAATGTATTTTATAATGGTGATGATTGGCTTAGAGAGACAAATTGGTGGTAATTTTACTCGTGAAGGAGTTAGCTTGCTCTCTGTGTAGATAATTTGGCTGTAGTTACATGAATATTTTTGTGGTTTACTTGGAGTCTTGAGTAGTAATAATATATTCGATTCTCCAAAGTTTGCCACTTGAATGAAAATAAAAGGAGAGGGATTCATCGGGAGCTCAAATAGTAGATGGCTTGAGAATACAAGGGAAGACATTTTTGCATAGTTTTGGTATAGAATGCATATGGCTGAGGCCAAATCAGGATAAAGTGAGTGCAGATAAGCTGTGTCTGGCTAAAATTATCTCACAAGTTCCTACTGGCTGTTTCTCTTACTTAATTGTCCCATCCTATTATTAATATAAGTAAGTTTCTTTCTTAACTTTTTTCTGAATTTGGATATAATTTATATGGCATTTTCTCAAAATACAAGTAGGTTTCCTCCTTTAACTTTTTTGCTGAATTTAGATGTACAGCCTGCCCCATCCTTTTTCCCCTCCTTCTCTCCGGGATTGTTTTTCCTTACAGAAGATTAAAGTACCCTAATTTTAGCTGATGCAAGTGTGTATGTGCGCTGATGGTTATGTGGATCTTATTCTTATAAATTTTGAAATTTCTTTGTGCATTGCCATGTGTAGCAATCTTCTTTCTTTCTTTCTTAGTAGTATTATCTTGAAGGAATTATATTTGTCTTGAGTTGTTTTTAGAGTTCTAGTAGTTTGTTTTCTAAAGATGAAATGTTTGCACGTGTTGACTCTCATGGGGATCACATTTTTTTTTCATGTTTCTGATTCTAATTTTAGCAGGTGAAGTCAAAGGCATCGGATATTGCTGGTGAAAATGGACATGTTGCAGAAAATCATGGTGCTGAGTTCACCCCTATTGTCCGCTCTGGAGCATGGGCTGACATAGGGTTTAGAACAAGCATGGAAGATGTATATTTGTGTCTTGATGATTTTATGCATTATTACGGGCTCAAGAATTTTGTTGATGGGCCCAATGCCTTTTATGGGGTATATACCTTACCTAATAATTTTATTCCTTTAGTGTGCATGTTTTGTTTTTAACCACAATCATGTCTCAGGTTTATTTTAGATCTGACATTTCTGTTGCATAACTTTCCTCGTCAAGTGCATTTTTCTAGTCAAGAATTTTGAACTATGATGTTCTCTTAGTCAGGTTTAGTGAAGTGTAAAAGTTCAGGTGCTTTCAGGCTTGCCTCTTTAGTTCATTCACTCAGCATTAAAAGCAATTTTCTGTTAGTTTCTTAGAAGCTTTGGTGGTTCCTTACATGATCCTACCTGCAAAAGCAAGAAAAGTATCCCAGAGATGCTTTGATGGGACGTTGGATAGTATAAAGTTTTACTAACTGTAGGGATACGCCAAGTTGGAACAGTTGATAGATTACTTGCCAATTTGGATCGGTTGGTAGATAACTTTGCATCTGTTTGTGCATTGATGGCAGTTTGACATTAGCATTTCCAACCTTTTTGGTGGTCAGGTGTTTGATGGACATGGAGGGAAGCATGCTGCTAACTTTGCTTGCTCTCATTTGCCAATGTTCATTGTTAAGGATAAAGACTTTCCTGGAAAGGTTGAGAGGGTTGTTGCTTCTGCATTTCTGCAAACTGATGCTGCTTTTGCAAAAGCTTGTGCACTGGATTCGGCCCTTCCTTCTGGTACCACTGCATTGGCAGCTCTTGTTCTTGGGAGGTTAGAATTGTCTACTAACAGAAAGTATTTGTTTGAAATATTCTTCTATTTAACTTAATGTGTAACACAATAGCGTTCCTTCATCCTGCATTCAAAGCATTACATAACAATAACCCACTGGAGGCACTGCCAATTAATTACATGGTTTGCTAATGTGTCTTACCTGATAAAATCATGGATGGCTGTCCCAGCCATATTGGTGGCCTGTTTTATTGTAGGAAATTTTTTCTTGAACAGACTGTTGTCACCACAAGGAACTCTTTTTTGTTGAATAACTCCCTCACCTTCTTCTCTTCCCTCATCCATTTCACTCTTCCTTTTACCAGCGATAAGAATGATTTATCCATGATCATGCAGTAAACTAATTCAGTGTTCAAACACAGTCAACAAGCCTGGTTTCAGTTGAAGATTATATGTTATATTCCAAATTACTATTTGCATATTACATATTGATTTGTATTTGCTTCATATTCTAGTGACAATTTTAAAATACCTATGAGCTTAGAGAAGTAATAACATCGGTGTGTGTTTTTGTGATGATATATAGTGAGCATTAAAAACTTGTTACCAAAGATTATTGGATGTGCATAAAACTGCTTAAATTAATAATCGTATGAAAAAGAGCACTTTAGATTCTGTTGTAAGGCATTACTTTTAAATCTAATTAGATGAATGATAAAGAAATGGATATGACTTGATTAAATTTTCTAATTCTTTTTTTTTTTTATCTCCCTCCACTCTTGGTATAAGGATCTTCTCTGTCACATTTTAATTTTACTATCTAGGTTAACTAATTAGAGTTCATGCTTTAAATGATGATGTGATGATGTGATCTCATCACTTGTTGATTTTGTATCTGATGTCAGAATGTTGGTTGTCGCAAATGCTGGGGATTGTCGAGCAGTTTTATGTCGTCGTGGTAAAGCAATTGAAATGTCAAGAGATCACAAACCCATTTGCAATAGAGAGAGAAAGCGCATTGAGGCATCTGGAGGTTATGTATATGACGGTTACCTCAATGGGCAACTTAATGTGGCTCGTGCTTTAGGAGATTGGCACATGGAAGGAATGAAAGGTGCAAATGGTGGACCGCTGACTGCAGAGCCTGAGCTTATGACTGAAGATCTAACAGAGGAGGATGAATTCCTTATCATAGGATGTGATGGGCTTTGGGATGTTTTTCTGAGCCAAAATGCTGTTGATTTTGCTAGACGGAGGCTTCAGGAGCACAATGATCCCGTCATGTGCAGTAAGGATCTGGTTGATGAAGCTTTGAAGAGGAAAAGTGGGGATAACTTGGCTGTTGTTGTTGTTTGCTTTCAATCCCATCCACCCCCTAACTTGGTTGTCCCTCGTGAAAGAGTGCGGAGGAGCTTTTCTGCTGAGGGTTTGATGGAGTTGCAAAGCTTCTTGAATAGTTTGGGAAACTGATATGGTGACGAATGCTTACTGTTTTTTCTTCATTTCTTTTTTTATCCCTTCCAACGAAGTAGTTAAATTGTAGTTTTAGTTATTGAGAATGAGTTTCAACTGTAACATACGTAGCGGCAAGTCGTTCCACATAATTTGTTGTTTCCCAAGTAGGAGGAGCTTAATTCATCTTTGTTTTGGCCTTTGTTAGGCACTTAATTCAAACCAAAATTATTCACTTCTATGTTGCATGTCTTTAGGTCTACTTTCCTGGTGGAAATGGAGCTGGCATTGCTCCATTTTTCCCACAAGTTGTCCCACTTGGTTGCTTAAGTTGGTCAACGTTTAAATGTTCGAGTTTCCCGATTGCAGCCCTTGCCAAAACTTCTTCATCATCTTCTATTTTTTCACGACAAGACATGGAGAAAACTTCGAAAGATGAGCTATTTCTCCATTATGTAGAACTTTGCATCACCACTCTCCATTTGTGCTGCGGTATGCAACGAATTTTAACAAAAACAAGGGCCACGGAAGGCTAAAAAGCTTTCTATAATGCTTTAATGCAAAGAACTAAGCAATGTGCCAGATTTTTGCTGTTGGTTGGGAGGAGATACGTAATATGTTGGATGACATTTATATAGATTCAGAAGCGCAAACACACAAAAAAAAAAAAAAAAACTGGTAAAAATAATGACATGTGGAATTCATTGTAGCCCATATCGAGATAATAGTATCTAGTGGCCACAATGATAAGGTTTCCTTGGACGAAATATGTTGCTATAGCTAGTAAATTATACTATGTATTATGATTTCTTTTACTGTCAAACTTTACATAGAAATAGGAGTTCTACATGCAAACATGGGGAGTCTATATGGTGCTTTAATGGAAGATTGACTAATTGCCAAAAAAAAAAAAAAAACCAATACAAAACCATAAAGAACCAGAAAAACTATACAATACCCTCAGCAAAGTTGGCAAAACTCCTTATCGATCACATTTGTCTTCCTTCTTTTGTTAGATCTTATGGAGTCTGTTGTAAATATGGGAGCAAAATTATTTGAATTTCCCATCCAGAAAATAGCCTGGCGGCCATGTTAGTGCTACTTTTATCTCTTCTGGAAGTTAAATGCCTTGATTGAGAATGCAAACATGAACCCGAAGAGCACACTTATTCCAACAACTATAATTGCAACGACTCCCACAAATTCTTCTCTAAAATCGAAATAGTTTCTTACAAAATGTCCCACCGTTTCACCAGACTCAAATGTGTCCTTTATGTCTCCATATTGCGAAGCAATCAGTCCATACAAGGTCCAAGAAATGGGGCAAAACCAATAGTACCATCTCCACCAAACAGGAATCCTCTGTCATGTGAACAATTTCAATTCATTGGAATATGGTCTCATTCTTTGTATTAATAAAGTATGCAAAAGGGTTATTCATGCTTACCGTTCGGGGGATGATGAATCCAGAGAAAAGATTCCATATTGCGAAGAAGGCAGATGAAACTATGGCAGCAATATTGTGGTTTGGAGTAACAGCCACAGTCATCATCCCATAGAAGGTGAAGTATAAGAAGGTGAAATACATAAAGAAGATAAACCAGAAGAACTTGGCTGCTGTCCATTCGAATCCAATCATGGCATACACTATAACTCCATAAATGACAGTTTGAATGAAAATGTATGGCAGCTCAACTACAACCTGCAGAATTATTGGTATGCATCAGCTTGTTTCCAACTAAACTTGTTGCTTGCCAATGTTTGATGCTTAATACCTTAAGTTCCTTGTAAAGGGTCTGATTTGCTGAATCTGTAAAAACAAGGGCTATTACCTGTCCAAATGCATATGGTAGTGCTGAATACATCCCAGCTGCTCTTTCTCTATAAAAGACTGTTCTCTCAACTGCCACAACTGGTTGAACTGACGTAGCATTTTGAAATCCTATAAAGAGAACAGCAGCGTACATAGAGCCCATTGAATTGAATACATCCTGTTGCCTTGTTCTGCAATTACCAAGCATTTCCATTGATTCAGAGAGATTAAAACACAAAAATACTTTGCTTGCCAGTGCACTATTTGCATTAAATAGTAATATACCTTTTGGAGCCAAGATTCCAGAATATTGTCCAAACAAAAGAGCAATAACAGTTGTGAAGAAAAATCTCACTGCAGTGTATGGTGGGTTTCTCCAGTAAGACCAGTATTGCTTCCATAGGCAAGCAATACATTGAGTGAGAAAAGATTGTGAATATCTAGTCTGGAAGTATAAATCCTTGGAACCAGGAGCAGGGCTGCTTAGTTCCTTGACCAATGCCTTGTTTCTCCTGTAGCGTTAGTTTACAGTGTCACTGATTGTATAACAAACATTAATGCATTAAACTTTAAAAATCTCTAAAGGACTTGGATATCTATGTAATAGTATGATAATGATAGTTTGCATTCCAAATCAGTTAAAAGTTCTCCAATAAGAAACTCAGAAACATAAACTACTTATAGAGCTGGGTTCAATAACCATTAACCACTTTTGACTTGATGTGATTTAAAAATTTAAACCATGAATTCCTGGACCCATGTCTTTTCACTTCCTGGGTCTGTCAGGTGATCCTACCTATATAGCTCAGAGTTCTTGTATATGTTGCTAAAGTTGACACCAAGAGCTTCTTCTTGTGCTGCTGAAGTAACCTCCAACATCCAAGTTGCTGGATTGTAACCATCCTTTATCCTTGGGAGTCCATTTATTTCCTTCAACAAGCAAAATCTCTCAGGAAATTAGCAACAGATATAAAAAAAATTCTACTTATATTATCATGTGTTCATGAGACTAACCTCAAAATACTTTATCAGATGGCAAGAATGGCGGCCTAATGGACCCACATATATTTCTTCACCTCCTCTTTTCAACAAAAGTAACTGTTTTTTTTCCCATTGATTGTGTACTTGTATTAGTTTTAAGAAGCCAAAAGAGATAAATGGCAACCAAAACTTGGAAATGATTCTCACCTCATCAAAAGCATCAAATATATCGATGCTTGGTTGGTGGATGGTACAGACCACAGTTCGCCCTGTATCCACAGTGTTCCTCACTGTTCTCATTACTATTGCTGCTGCTCTGGCATCAAGACCAGAGGTAGGCTCATCCATGAATATTATGGATGGGTTAGCAACAAGTTCAACTGCAATCGTTAGCCTCTTGCGTTGCTCAGTTGAAAGGCCATTCACCCCAGGCAATCCTACAAGTGCTTCCCTTAATGAGTTTAGCTCCACAAGCTCCATGACTTCCTCAATGAACATCTGTAACACATCAATTTGATTTAAAACAAATAGTTTTTTACATGCCTACGTAAAACTTTGTGTTAATGTTTTGTCACTACTTCATCAGAAGTGCACGTGAATGCTACTACTTCTTCATTCTGTAGAAAATATAAGAAGATGGCTGAAGTAATTAACAACATACCATCCTGGTCTCGTAAATGACCTCTGGGGGTAGTCTAAGCCATGCAGAGAAAAGCAAGGACTCATATACTGTAACATGGGGGGAGTGGATGTCTGTTTGCTCACAGTACCCAGATATGCGAGCAAATGTTTCCTGCTTCTTTGGATACCCTGAAATTTTGATTGTTCCCTCAACATAACCACCAGTTTTCCTTCCAGCCAACACATCCATTAGAGTAGTCTTGCCAGCACCACTAACACCCATCAGAGCAGTTAGGACTCCAGGTCTGAAAGCACCACTCACTCCCTTCAAAAGTTCCAGCCGGTCCTCAGAAATACCTTGAACTTTCATTTCCTGCAAGCGTTGTAAAAATTCAGGATGTCAAGTTCTACCAGCACATTTAATAACTAATAATTTTTTAAGGTCTCTATGATAGTCTAAAAAACCTGTTTATTAAAAAAATCCAGGAAGTTTTTGCAAAGTAATATTGTATTATCATATTTGGAGCAAAATAATTGTATTCAATAAAAATATAACCAATACCTACACAAAAGCCTTGAAGTTTAGCAACTCATTTGCCTATGTTTCCTACTTCCTAGTTTTGAAACATATTGTTGCCTCCTGTTAAACAAATTAAAGATACCTGTGGCATATCTATAGCATATTTGATTTCATCAAAGCTCATAGAAAGGGGTTCAAAAGGAAGAACCATGCCCCTCTTCCTGTTCTGATTAGCTTCATTGATACTCCCAACTTTTGTAGACAGTGATCTTGATGATGCAATTCTTTGGCTTTTATTCCCTCTCTCTGCATTATTTTTGCATTGATCATTTTACAGTATGAGTAATACAATGTAGCATTTGGGAATATAACTCACAGTCGTTTAACTTTATTAATGACTCACCAGAAGAACCTTTTCCCCTTGATGATAGCTCAACATTCTCTCCAGTCTTGCTTGCAATTTTCTCAGCTAGAGTTTCTTTAGATATTACTGCTTGAGGCTTCCCAAATGCTGAATCAAATTAATCTATTAGAAAATAAGCTTCATATTCGAAAACTAACAAATCTAATGGGAGAAACTTACGGTCAAGATACTTTAATGCCAATGTGAAAAGGAAATTGAATAGGAAACAATATCCAACCAAAGCTCCCACTCCAATCCAGTACCAACGTGCTTCAGGGAAAATTCCACGAGACTTTAAGACCATAACTCCTAATGGTTCTGTAGAGTTGGGAGGAACCTATAATGCAAAGATTTTCAGATATTCAGTAATTACTGCTCATCAAAACAAAATTTCCCATTTCCCATGCCTCAATTTCAAGTTTGCTTCTTTTGTCAACATTCAAGAAAAATGTTGCTTACATGTCTCCAACTCTTCCCAAGAAATTCGTTCACAGCTATGGCATTCTGTCCATACATCAATGGTGAGATCCAGTAACCCCATATCCACCATTTCTTGACGTCATCTGATGTAACAGAATGTGGTAATCACCATCAAAACTCAATATACATCATTGAGAAAATAATGATAATAACTATAATAATTAAATCTATTGAATATTATATTTGGTTCACCTCGGGTTAAGATGAACCCTCCCATAACAAGAACTGCAAGTAAAGCAAATGAACCACAAGTATTTGCAACAATTATATTTCTTCCTAATCCTCCCATTAATCGGAATAGTCCTGATGCCATCTGGTTAAGACATAAGAGGACAAGGTAATGCTTGAAAAACCTGCCAATGAGAGCTTTATTTAGTTATGACACAAAATATAGACCATAACAGATATGGCGTAGCTAGTTTCTCACCTCCCACCGTTTGGGTCTAGGCCAATGACATAATAAGTCATGAAAACCCAGATGGTGACTATTAAGATGCTGATTGGGATCTTGAGAATCCATGAGGGTAGAGAATATGCCCACGGAGGATAGAAGAGAAGGTCCCTTTGCTTGTAGAAGACAGGAAGTTTCAAGATGGTCATGGAAAGCTCCGCAAATCCATTGAACATTATCATATTGAGAACAAAGAACAGAGCTCCCATAAAAATCCCACCATCTGTTACTGTATCTCGGTGCATCTCTGTCCTCAGAAATAGTGTCATTGTTATGAGCCCAATCAAAATGAGCTGAAAATTTCACCGAGAAGAGAACAATCAATGGGACTTGGAATGTTCCACAGTTGCAGGCATATTATAAGAACATGTTTATTCTCTTTAAAATAGTTCTTTACTCACTTGAATCGTTATAAAAACATAAACGAATAAATTTCTCTTCATTAGAAGAAATTCCCTGGATACACAAGCTTTTAACAGTTCCTTCTGGGAAACACCATACTTGTCTTTTGTTAGAGCAGCAGGATGGCTTTTGGACTTGTCAAACGGGAT